CAGGGAGAAATAGCCAGATAGATAGATAGCTAGATAGATAGAAAAACATTACAGCTATTACTCAATAAATCTATATTGCCTTTAATGTCATATTGCTCTGTCCACTAGTAATAACATTATATCCCATTGAGTTCAACCCCTTAAGGACGGGTGACGGACGAGGTCCGTCACAGAGGGGAGACCCTTAATGACGAGTGACGGACCTTGTCCGTCACGCGGTAAAATTAACCCCAGGTCGCCGCTATTGCGGCGATCGCGGGGTTAATGGTGCTCCGGTATGCCTCTGCATTAGAGGCATACCGGGAGCACCCGGTCAGGCTGCCCAGCACATGTGCTCGCTCTGAGCGCTCTGAGCGAGCACATGTGCTCTGTATACTTACCTTCCGGCTCCCTGCACTTCCTGGTTCTGTGTGAAGTGCAGGGAGCCGGAACAGTGCTGATCTTGCCCCCTGCTGGAAAAAAAATAAAGTTTATTTAAAGTCCCACCCCCCCTTTACCCATTTTAATAAAAAATTAACCCCTTCCCTGCCAATTGATCACTGACTACAGGGGTTAACGTTAAAAAAAGTTTTAAAATAAACTTTAAAAAGTTAAAAATTAAGCTTAAAAAAAAAGTTTTAATAACGTTTATGTAAAAAAAATAAAAAAACTCTTTACCTAGTCCAAATAAAAATTAACCCCTTCCCTGCCAGTCGATCACTGCCTACAGCAATCAAATACAGATCAAAGTATTATACTGTGATCTAATTTTTTTAAACCCCTGAGGATTAACTTTTATTTATTTTTTAACCCTCAGAGGTTCAATTTATTTAATTAATTAAATATTTTATAACTATATATTTTGCTAGCTGGGGTGGGTGGGAGTTATGGGAAAATGGGGAATTTACTGTTAGTGCTGCGTACTGCTAGCTAGGGGTTAACAGTAAAAAAAATAGCTTAGAAAAATGTTAAATCTGTAAAAAAGTTTTAAGAAAGTTTAGGAAAGTTTAAAAAAAATTTATAAACAAAACAAAAGTTTAAAAACTAGTTTTTAAAAGTAAAAAAGTTATAAAAAGTAAAAAAATACATTTTAAAAACGCTCATTACCACTACACCTGGAACAAACTAGAGAAAAAAATTATCCCACGCCAAGGTTCAAAATATGCCTTTTGAATTACCCCAGGGTGTATTCTTTAATAAATAGTATGTGTTTGTGGGGAAGTTTCAATAACCAACCGTCTAAAACTACTCCAAATTGGAACATGGACACAGCGTAAAACTTAAAAGTTAGAAAAAAACTGAATGGCTGCGTCTCAAATGCGCCCCTTCAACATCCACATATACCTGGCAAAGGTACATACGGGGGTATTGCTGTACTCAGCCGACATAGCTGAGCAGCATATGAAGTATTATACAGTCATAGCACACATAAGGTTTGCAAAATATGCTGCGCAATCTCACTTTGTATGTCAAAAAGGCAGAAAAAATGCTTATTACCACTACACTTGGTACAAGCTAGCGGAAAAATGATCCCACGCTAAGGTTCAAAATATGCCTTTTGAAATACCCTGGGATGTCTTCTTTAAGAAATGGTATGGCTTTATGGGGTATTTGGATTATATAGCCTGGTAAAATACTCTAAAATGCGACATATGTACAGCGTAAAAATTCAAAGTTTGAAAAATAAATGGAATGGCTGTGTCCCAAATGTGCCCCTCCGATGTCCACACATACCTGGCAAAGGTACATATGGAGGTATTGCTGTACTCGGCCGACATAGCTGAGCAACATATGAAGTATTATACAGTCGTGGCACACATAAGGTTTGCAAAATATACTGTGCAAACTCACTTTGTATGTCAAAAAGGCAGAAAAAAACGCTTATTACCACTACATCTGGTACAAGCTAGCGGAAAAATGATCCCATGCTAAGGTTCAAAATATACCTTTTGAAACACCCTGGGGTGTCTACTTTAAGAAATGGTAGGCCTTTGTGGGGTAGTTTGAATTTAAAACCTGCGAAGATGCTTGGAAATTGCACATAGGCCCAGCGTCAAAATTCAAAGTTTGGTAAAAACGGATATGGCTTGGTCTCCTATATGGCACTGTAGCACAATATGCACATTATGAGATACCCTGGAGTGTCTACTTTTACAAATGGTAGGCCTTTGTGTTTTTTTTTTGAACAGTCAAACTGTTATAATACCCCAAATGGAAGCTAAGGCTCATTAAATCCATCTCTTAAAATTCTACTGTGAATACTGAAAAGGACAGGTCTCCTATATGGCACTGTAGCTTCACGAAATAGTGCTAAAGACATACAATGGGGGTGTCTTTGTACTCAGAAGCCTTAGCTGAGCATAATTTGGGGGGTTTGAACTTAGTGGCACATATGAAATATACAAAACGCCCAGCAAAAATGCAATCCGTATGTAAAAAATGCACAAAATTATTTTTTACAACATACTTTGGCATACATTGGTGAAAAAATGGGGGCATGTTAAGGCACAATATGCACCTTATGAGATACCCTGGAGTATCTACTTTTACAAATGGTAGGCCTTTGTGGGGGTTTTTGAACAGTCAAACTGTTATAATACCCCAAATGGAAGCTAAGGCTCATTAAATCCATCTCTCAAAATTCTATTGTGAATACTGAAAAGGACAGGTATCCTGTATGGCACTGTAGCTTCATGAAATAGTGCCAAAGACATACAATGAGGGTGTCATTTTACTCAGCAGATGTAACTGAACACAAAATAAAACTTTGTACAGGAATAGCACACACCAACTTTACAAAATATACATGAGAATTTCTTTCTTATAAGTTTGAAAAAAACACAATTTTACTCCAATATTTAGCAGAGGTTGGCGGTGAAATGGCTACGTAGAAAGTGTCAAAACAATCTTAGGTAAATAGCCCATGATATCTACTTTATATAAATATATACTTTTGTGTGGCAATTTTGTTTTCTTTTATGGCTATTAAGCTTACAAGACAAACATACCAAATTCTAAAATCGCTCCACAAAAAAGTCCATTTTACTCCTCGTACTTTGTGACCTGTAACTACCAAAAAAAACTTAAAATCCCAGACACATTATATATTCTGTAAATCAGAACAACTAAATTAATTTATTTTTAATTACTTTTCTTAACCTGCACTAATTATGCACACATTATTATTGCAAAAACTGTAAAAAAAAAACACAAAATTTTCATTTTTTTAAAAAAAATTTCTGGTTTTTTTTTTATAATAAATAAGCATTTATATATATGTAACAGAACAAGGGGTGGAGTCAGCGCTAATCAGGAAGGCAGCAGTCCCAAACAAGGACTCCCTCTCATGTCCCTGGGAATCAAATAGTAAAAACAGGAAAAATGGGGGATGGGTCTGCGCCAATGTGCACGATAAATAATAGTATTGAGTCCAATGGGATCTATATTGTTGTTTCCAAAGTTCTACTTTTAGCGATATCCAGAAGGTGTCGATGGCGTGAAGAGTAATCCAAATATGTAAAAAATAGAAGAGATCTTACTTACAATTAGCAGAGCTTAATCCAGCTCTGGTGTGAATGGCTTACAGCGGTATTATCCCCACTTACAGGATATGTGGCAAGTGTCCTCTTCTTTGTAGTGACAGGTAACCAATTTGGAAATAAAAATGGAGACAGTAATGGTGCAGTATGTTCCACACGTATGGTAAAAATTATAAAATATAATAGATACACTCACATTCGGTAGAGCTTTGACTTGACTAGCTCTAGTTGATTAGGCGTACAGCGGTATCATGCCCGCTTTTAGATATAGGATGAGTGATCTTGACAAGAATATCAGGAGCTCGGAGAGAAGATAAAACAGCGATAGTGCTCTCAATAAAATTATGGTAAATAAATAAAATAATAAAATATACTCACAAAATATAGGGCAGGCTAACTGCTCTATGTAACAGCGTAGGTGGTATAATCCCCACATAGGATTCTTTGGAGTATGGTATGCAGGAGTTAAAAATAATAAAAAAAGTATATAGTATAAAATGGATATAAAACGTATATATAAAAAAAGAAAAGTCAAAGGATAGGCTACATGTCTGAAGACTAGATAGGGCCCCACATTGGGCTGGGGAGAGGAAAGGAGGTGGATAGGGGATGTACTCGGAGGGACCACGTGACGCGTGTCATAGGCGCGACGTCACTTCCGGCCGCACAAATTTATGGGACATGTAGTTATAAAGTAAACTACATGTATTTAAAGTAAATAAAGCCCTATATTGGGCTAGGGGAAAGGGGAAAGTTAATAATCCGGAAATAATGACGGCGGCCATCTTAGGTGGGGAATGTGGTCCATAAGGATAGCATAATAAGTAGCCATATTGCTGAAGGCAAATTTGGGCACCTGAATAAAATATAAATAATAAACATATTCAGAATGCTAATACATAAATAATAAAATGTAAAACATAAACACATTTAAAAATGCTGATACATATTAGAATTAGATATAAAAAGCAAAATAAAAACCTAATGATAATAATGAAATCTAAAATAATTAAAATAATTAGATAAAATTAAACAAATCAAAATCTGCATTTAAACCATTTGGAATCAGTGTTTTCAGATTAAAAACCCATTCCAGGGGGGGCGGGGCCGGGCCGCCGAGCTGAAAGGCAGCAGAACACCATGGCTCCTGGCCTGAGCCCTGGAAAACTGCAATAAATCCACACTCAGACCACCCCAAAGCAGAAATAAGCTACATATACTTAACAAGAAACATTTAAGCTTTATGGGGATACCAAACCGAGGCCGGTTTTGGACCGGGAACACCGAAATTAACGAAGCGGCCTACTCGTCATCATAAGCCTGGATGATGGCAGCCCCTGAAGAGGCACAGATAACTGACCAGCAGCCCAGAGATCAAGGTATACCTGCTTTAAGGCCCACATGGAGGCCACACAGTTGCGAATGACGGCCCGGCTCCGCTCCCCCCCGGCCGCATGGAAGCGGCACACTCCTAGCCGGAGGAAACCGCGCGGGGCCCGAGCCAACCACCTGAACGGGTAAAGGATGCCAGACAAGAGCCCACCCGAGGATTCACTCTAGGCATCAGGGGGGTCTGGCATGGACGGCTCGCACGGGCCCTGGTAAGGCCGAGCACTGGACGGATCCTCCATGCTGTGTTACTGACCGCTGGGGAGTGGGCGCCAAAGCCTCTGGGTTTGTGGGGTCCCCGGAGAGACCTGTCCCCGAAGCCGTGAGCCCTGTGGGATGGGACCGCGCTACCCCCCCCGACGGACCGGTGGTCGGGGTAGATGGGCACCGACTCCAAATGTGTGGCCGGCACCGGGTAAGACATTGGAACGCACACTTCCAGGGACTCAAGTGAAGCTGGGGAGGTGCAAGGAGCGGACAACCAGCGGACTTTGTGGGGGGGTCCAACGGACAGTTTGCGCTCCTGAGTGCCCACGGTGCCACAGGGGACCCGACTGGTGAGCGGAGATCGGCATGGGGAGGACGGAAGGAGGCCTGGCTACCCGGGGACGGTGTGGTAGCAGTGCCATGAGAGACTCCCCTGAGACGGCCATGTAGACTAACATGGCCACCCTGCAGTTTATAGCACACATTTTTCATTTTTAAGTTTGCTTCTACTTTATTAGCATATATATTCATGTACTTAAAGAATTTAGAGAACGCTAGATCGCTCAATTAAGCTTATGCACTACTGTTAGTTGCCCTTAAATCATAAGCATTCTTTAATTCCATGAGTCAGAATTATAATAGACTAGGCGGTCACAACGTACATAATGTGATGTGTTTGTTTATATGCTCTTTTCGGTCATAAATATGCAAGGCAATATAGATTGTGGAGCATCTGACTAGGCAGCAAAGACTTAACATTGTGTTTTTAATTTACTACCATAAGCTTTTTCTTCTCTTTTTTTTTTTTTTTTCTCTTTCTTTCCGCATATTATAACATTAACGAGTCGCATGTTAAGGGTCAAACAGCCCACAGATTTAGATGACTACTAGCAGTAAACGACAGAGTACAAAACAGTCTGCCTGTTCCACAGATAGATAGCCATCCGAGCACAGTTCCCAACCCAGTTCCATACACTGGCGCACACGCAAAGCTAAACATTTAAACGGTGGCTGTACACCGAGGTAAAGCGCCTCTGTGTGGGCAAACTTTAAATTCTTGCCCCTATGTGCATAACGACTGCCTCTCATCATATGGAAATAATTACACACTTTATATGATTTAATTTTTTAATTTTTACATAGACATGCTGCAATTATTACCTGAGCTTCGCGAATGTAAAGAACTATGTATACAGCCCGCACCGACATTGCTTTTATGACCTTAGGGCGACACTGCATATGTTGGCGCATCCGGGTGCTCGTTACTGTTGCACTGAGCATAGCCATATAGAAGCTCTACGTTACTTTTAAGTCTCATCTGGGAACAGAGGCATGAGGGGAGGCACGAGACACACTTCTACGCAGCGATAGCTTCCACCTCAAGCAGCCAGTTATCCTCACGTAATTATACCCCCTCCCAACATTATTTACTCACATTTTTATTCATTTATCCATTTTTTAATTTTTTTTATTTTCACATACAACCCGGCCGCACGTGCATGGACCAAAGTCCCTGGAATCCATGAGAGGACACAGTCAGGGATCTTCACGTAGGGCCCTATCCCTTAGGCCCCCTTATACTCGGGGGCACCACCCCCCCCCCTTTTTTTATTTTTTTTTATTTTTATTTTTATTTTTATTATTATTTTACCTGGCTCACAGAACTTAACTATCACACAAGCTACTTAAGCCCTGTACCCGCTTTTCCACATATATATGGCTCAATGTACACAGCTGTAATCCAACATATCGAGTTAGTCCTTCGTGCCACCTTAAAAACCTAGCCTGTATAACCCAGCTTGCTTTACATCATAAAAAGCTTGATCATTAATTGTATGTTTAATCCTTGCATGTCGATCTACAATAGGCACCTATCTCTTGTTAGCAACCTGACCTAGAAATGTTTGTTTAGCCTGTTCATTGTATACTCTAAAAATGTGCAGAATTATCGCATGCCATGTACAGAGTCAACTGTTTGTATTACCAGGCTTGTCGTTGCTGTCGTGGCAATACAAGTTAAAATGTATTTTATTGCATGCACAACAAAATAATAAAATAAGTTTTGACTAAAAAAAAAACAAAAAAAAAAAACATTCCATTTCACATTTACCTAAAATATTTTTAATATTACCACCTCTCCATGGAATGGTGCATTTTTTTATGCCAATACATTTTAAGAGACCAGGATCATTATTATGGATAATAAAATGTTTAGACAGTATGATTCTGGTATCCATTAATAATATTTCGGCAATGTTCTCCTAATCGTGTTTTGAGACTTCTTGTGGTCATACCCACGTATTGGAGCCCACACGGGCATTCTAGGAGGTAAATTACATTTTTAGTAGTGCATGTAATAAAATCTTTTGGTCTAGCCCGCTCAGGCAATGTCTGGCACATAATTCGCTGGCCGAACGACGTCCCCCGCTTTCTACAAGCCGCGGGCCTACCCATGATACAGATCCCGAATTGGATCCTGGAGGGTCCCCCAGCCCGGGCCACGGGTCCGTCAGAAGTAGCTCATAACCTCCGCTCGGGACCCACTCCTCCACTACGCAGGGGAGGCCCGGAGAACTCGGAAGAATAAACCAACACCTTCCCTGAACAGCCACGGGAACTACCCCCCTGAGCCGCTCCGACACCAAAACCCTGTTACCGTGGCCCTTCTCCCCTTCGGATTCCTCCCAGACCGGGACTCTCCACGCTCCAGCCTGCCAGGGGTATGTACTCTACCATTACACTAGTCAAGGGGCAAGGGGGGAGCCTGTCTAGGTGGGGTGGCGGGGCAGCCCGGGGGTCAGCTATAGAGGTTAATACCACCCGGACCAACCAAAAGCCAAGCTCCTACAGCGGGGCTCCTTGTCAGGTTGGGAGGGGAATTTCATGGGAGAGGGGACTCATGGGACAATGTGGAACTCCCCAGAGACGGCAACCAGGCCCTCAACAGGACGAATTCCCACCTAAAACGGTTGCTAAACATAGCTGTACAACGGACAGCAGTTCGAACTGTTGCCGGGAGGACAGGGGGGGTTCCGGGAGTGGGTGGTGGTGTTTGGTTAACGAGGGACACGGGTGTCACATGTTGGGAACTAGAGTGGTAGACGGGGGGGCCCACTACTGTAAATATTCCACTAGATAAGTTAATGCCCACGGTAGCCACAAAGAGCGCCCATCAGAGTGACACACATATGCACTAGGAGAGATACCCTGCGCGTCACACCGGGCCCATTGCATCAGCGATCACATAGGGAGGGGCTAAGAGTGTATATAAGTGGACCAAAGAGATGTACGGGCGTCTAGGGCTCGACAATGGCACAATACTCGGGAATCACGGGGGACGGGCTGACAGATGTGGAGGGGGGGATGAGGGACACATCACGCGGACACAGAAGACAGACTGAGGGGACCAGGGACTGCTCGGCCTTTAACGTAGCAAAACAATGACAGTAACTCAGCTGCAGGCATGACCCCCCCCCCCCGCACACAGTCCGCCCCTGACCCGCATGCGCATTCACTCCTGCTCCCCCACGTGCCACGCACGCTACACTTACCAGAAAGTAACGAGGCAGACACACTACCACGACGCCGCACACCCCCGATATGCCCCAAGCTTGAGAAGCCCCCCAAGACAGACGGCCACGGGGCCCCTAGATGACAAGACTTGGGACCCGAACAGCGATCCTTGGACCCGCCTAGCGGAACCCAAGCCACGGGCAGACATCAAGGGCACCACTCCGGGACGATCGGACCCGAACTCAGCCCGTCTGATACCACGCCAACAGGAGGTGACACCCCACGCCCGGCGCCACTGACTCTTACGGACCCACTGCGCACACATGCACCAATTCTTCCCAATAACACCGCTGAACCCCGACCCAAATACGGCCATGGGTGATCCAGGGTTTCGAACAGGCAGCCACAAACACGCATAATGAAGGGGGAGACTGGGAGGGACGCACCCTTTAAAAGCACACAACAAGATACACAAACGGCCCCATAGCGACATGTGGGAGCAGAGACCCGCTACCATGCACCCCATCTTCAACACTACACTGAGAGACATAGCTACTACGAAAGCCCAATCCAGGTTGGGAGCCGAAGGAGATAGTAGATGACAATCGACCACTAGACCGAACCACCCCATTGGTCAAGACGACACTGTACCTCACTGAGACAGACCCTCCTGTAAATTATACCGGAACCTCAGGGAAGGTCAGGTAACCAACCCCCGAGAACCCCCAAAATCCGGTACAGGGTCGCCGTCACACCCAAACTAACCCTGTTCACGGGTCCTCCTGACCCCAGATAACCCCATCCTCCTAAAACCCGCATCGTAGACGACAGCCTTCCCCTCGCCCCTCCAGTGCCGCTGCGGGTGGGGCCACTTCCCCCCTCCCAAAATGGCTGCCACCCGGGCGTTTGCCCCGGCCCAGCTGACGTACTGGTCTAACAACGTCCAGGGACTCAACTCCCCAGAAAAACGGGCCCACTTGCACCGTCGACTGTGGAGCGCTAAAGCCTCCGTCGTTTTCCTGCAAGAAACCCATCTCAAAGGTGGGGACGCACCTAAACTAGAAAACCGGCGCTTCCCTTTGGGTTTCTACGCTAACCATCCCGACACCAAAAAAGCCGGAGTCGCCATTCTGTTCGCTCACTCAGTGCCATTCCAGACTACACAAGCTCTGGCGGACCCGAACGGGAGGTACCTCTTCCTGAGAGGCACCATCGCAGACCATGAATACACCTTCGCATGCTTATACGGACCAAACAGAAAGCAACATACGTTCATACGCCAGGCGCTGGCCAAGCTGGAGAAGTTCAGAGGGGGCCTGCTGATCGTAGCAGGAGATCTAAACATGCCGTAGGACCCCATACGTGACACCTCGAGGGGCCAAAGCGCGATCCCCACACACTGCCTGAAAGCCACGCAACGACTCCTACACAAGATGGGGCTAGTGGACTGCTGGAGGACGTACCACCCAGACGCCCGAGACTATACCCACTACTCCGCGGTACACGCACACTATAGTCGAATCGACTACATTTTCATGGCCCAGGAGTATCTTAACCTATTACGTAGCGCAGACATCGGCA